TACATGGGAACTCGCTATTCTTCCGAAATGACACAAAGCTATCAAAGTCAAGTGGGTGTATAAGACAAAGAAGAATGCCAACAGAGAGGTCGAAGGATACAAGGCGAGATTAGTGGCGAAGGGTTATAGTCAAAGAGCCGGAATCGACTATGATGAGGTATTTGCACCCGTTGCTCGGTTGGAAACTATACGATTACTAATTTCTTTGGCAGCTCAAAACAAATGGAAGATTCAACAAATGGATGTGAAGTCCGCTTTCCTAAATGGAGTCCTTGAAGAAGAAGTCTACATTCAGCAACCGTCATGCTATGAAATCAAAGGGCATGAAGACAAAGTTTTGAAGCTGAAGAAAGCCCTTTATGGGTTAAAACAAGCGCCATGAGCATGGAATAGTCACATTGACAAGTACTTCCAAGAAAACAACTTCACAAAGTGCTCTCATGAACATGCTCTCTATGTCAAAGTCAAAGATGAAGATATTCTAATTGTGTGCTTATATGTGGATGATATAATCTTCACCGAAAGTAATCCAAGCATGTATGAAGAGTTCAAGAGAGTGATGACCAAAGAATTCGAGACCGACATCGGGCTGATGGCATAATACCTAGGCACTGAAGTCAAGCAGAACGAAGAAGGCATTTTCATCTCCCAAGAAAGCTACACAAAGGAGATACTGAAAAAGTTCAAAATGGACGACTGCAAGCCCATAAGCACGCCAGTGGAGTGCGGAGTCAAACTAACCAAGCATGACGAAGGAGAAAGTGTAGATCCAATATTTTTCAAGAGTTTAGTTGGAAGCTTGCGCTACTTGACTTGCATAAGACCAGATATTTTCTATGTCGTCGGATTAGTCAGTCACTACATGGAGAATCCCACAACTACATATTTGAAGATTGCCAAAAGAATTCTTCAATACCTTAAAGGTACTGTTAACTTTGGCTTGTTCTATTCAAGCTCTAATAACTACAAACTTGTTGGATATAGCGACAGTGATTGGGCAGGAGATTTCGATGATAGAAAAAGCACTACTGGATTTGTGTTCTTCATGGGAGACACTGCATTCACATGGATGTCGAAGAAGCAACCGATTGTCACTCTCTCTACCTACGAAGCTGAATACGTAGCTGCTACCTCATGTGTCTGTCATGCAATCTGGCTGAGAAACTTGCTAAAAGAATTAAGCATGCCACAAGAAAAGCCAACAGAGATCTATGTCGACAACAAGTCTGCAATAGCTCTAGCAAAGAGTCCAGTATTCCATGACAGGAGCAAACACATAGATACCCGCTATCGTTACATAAGAGAGTGTATTGCAAGAAAGGATGTGCAAGTGGAATACATGAAGTCTCAAGACCAAGTCGCCGACATATTCACCAAGCCACTCAAACAAGAAGACTTTGTTAGATTGAGGAAATCAATCGGTGTCACAAGACAAGATTAAGGGGGGATGTTGAAATGTAATCTTGTCTTGGCCCAAGACAATTGATTCGGCCCATACACAAAGAAAGATCCATGCACATGTTAGAGAATTCTAGCAAAGTTCAAGTTGGTAGAAGAGTCTAGAAGAATGGTGAGGATTCCACCAACAAACAAGATTAATGTAGACAATTCTAGCTTAGGAAGGTAGTGAAATTATCTAGATATCTCTAGCATGATGCTTCCATGCTTCTCCAAGGTTCCATCCATGCCTATAAAAGGAGAAGGCATCCACACCATTTGAATCAACCAAGAGAGCAAGTAGTGAGAAGTGAGAAGAAGCAACAAAGCTTCTAAGAGTGTTTGAGTGTTTCCTCTTGTACTAAGTTTGTGAGTGAATAAAAATCTTGTGTAATACATTGAGTGTTCTTTCTTTTTCTTGCCTATCAATTCCGCTGCATTACATACTCCTTTGTGAGATAAACAACTCCAAAGTAGTGAAGTCTTTTTAAGCCCCAACAGGCCTTTACCATCTTTGTGACCCTCCTATTTATGTTATACAGTGCTGCTAAAGCCACTCACATGTCCTATTTCTTCACTCATTTTTAATGACAGATTTAACCTATTTGTAAAATGACTTCTAAGCCATGATAAAAAGCCGTGAGAATAAAACGAAAAAGAAAAAAAAGAGATAGCCCAGGACCTCTAATCTCTTCCTTTCCCGTCTATGACTGATAGCTACTGGGAAAAATTTGCAACGGATGTGGTGAGGGCCTTCAATTCTTAATATAAGGGCATACCAGTATAACATACGCAAAAATAAAATATGATATAACAAAGTGATGAATAAAGCATCCTCTTGAAAAAATTACTCGCTGCTACTGTTAAATAAGAGTTAACTAATACAAAATTATTTCCGTAATTATTCATTTGTATTATAGGAATGTAATTTTTAATTGTAATTAGTGTAAAAATATGACTCCTTGCATTGATTTGTGCAAAGTATTTTAATATAGGGTTATATCAAATCCCTATTAAGTTACGAAGATAATTAGAATTTACATTATTATAATATAAACGAAAGTAAAGAAGTTAATTCCGTGATATTAACTCTTATTTAACAGCTACTCTATATACTCAATTGAAGACATACATATCATGAATTCCACATGTACAAGAATAAAGATTTGGAGGCTTTCATTTTAATATATGAACTCTCTAGAAGATTTGATCTTTTGGTGAATAAATAATTTAGTTTCTTCCGTACGTAAAATATACCTAATAAAGTAAACATATGCATGGTTGGCTTTGATTTTTGGTAACAAAAAGTTTAGAGGGAGGGAAGGCTACCTCATCTTAGGGAGACGACATACCACAAGTTTTTTTGAGAACTTACAGAGGAGGTCTTAGCCTTTTTTTTTTAACAGATCGTCCTTCAAGAGAGATTGTTAGCAACAAGACTCGAACCTATGCCTTGGTCTAGTAAAGAGAATGATCATTGCCAACTCAACTAGCCCTCGTTGGCGTGCATGGTTGGCCTTTGAATGGATATCTTGCTTGTCATGTTTTGTTATAATATAACAGATCAAATGTCATGTAATGAAATTAATTAAGCTGTATCTATTAGTCAAACTTTTAACCCCAAAAATCCGGCAGAATTCACAGACTACATTTGTACATGTCAGCACTCATACGTATATGCATCTTATCTAAATACACATTATGAATTTATAGCTCCTCGTTTGACAATTTGATTAACGTTGTCATCATCGTCATCATCTAATTAAAGCGCATTTATAAAACTTGTAGTCTGCCAAAAGTTAACTCATTTGCATTTTTGAAGTGTCTAGCTTGGACTCTCCTCCTTCAAGGCCATATATATCCTTTTTGTATGGCACCATTCATTTTTATGAGTGATGTGATATTTGATGCATGGGTTATTTTCTTAGTTTCCAAAATTATGTTGTCGAGCTAATGCTTATTAAATTTAAACCACCGTTCAAGTATAATATTAATGAAAAATTTGCTCTCATAAAATATAACCATATTATGTAGTTAGACGATCTAACGTGAGAACATCCTGTAATATGTAATATAGCACTTAAGTCCCTATGTCCACGGTAGTCTCCAGAAGTTTGCAGGCCATGCAACTTTCTTTTGTAATTACATGGCTCCTCTTCGGATTAAGTGTTCAACCTCAAATTACAAATTGTTAAAAGGAGGATAATTCCGTGCCATGCACTTAACATTTTGTGCAAGCACATCCACGATATAGCATATTATTCAGTTAAAGAAACAAAAGAGAAAAATGGATACAATGAAATGGGAAAATGTGGCATCTGATGATGATCTGATATGTACTGTAGTCTTACGTTCTTAGGCCCATTGTGTGCTAGAAAGTAGAAACCCTACCACATGCGTGACCTAAATTTTCTTTTAATATATAACAACTTCAGAAAACTACAAATTCATTCTCTCTTTCTTAGATATTTCTTTCATGAACGTTGAACGGTTTGAAAATTAATGGTTAAAAAATTCATGTAAAGTAAAGATCTAATCGATTCTTACAACTGTTAAATCTTGCATAGTTTAGACCACTGAATAGGACATGACATTTATCCGAACTCTTTCTCTCTTTCACAGTGAGATGAATTAGGAGGTTGTCAATGTCACTTTTTTGAGGCTGAGTGTTGAGCGTGAGTGAGCGTTGTTGATGGGAGGTTGTCATGAATCACTCATGACATTCATTCGTCATTCATGATTGGTTGTTATCGAGCAATACTTGATGAGATGACATTCATATTATTAGGGTTTTTTAGGTCAAAAAAGGGCTATCAGCACTCGAGCAGTCTTGGACGACGTTTTCACGTGGACCCAAACTTTGATGGACTTAGCCTACCAAATCCAAGAGAATCGTCTTGAAAGGAAAATGGATGCTTGTTAAAAAAAAACAAAAAGTGAAAGGAAAATGGATGCGACTTAATAAGGAAACACAAGTTTCCCCTAACCCATTATAGCATGCAAGGTAGGATACAAATCAATATGATAATGTGAAACGTGTGTTTGGCAAAAGAAAGAAAAGTGGGACACAAGTAAATGGAATTAAGTTTAGAATATCTCCTTAGCCACGTTTTGTGTCTAAACAACTGTTTAGGATATAATATAACGCTAACCATATATTTGTTTAAATTAAAGGTAAAAGATAAACTAATCGTGAATGAAATTTACCGTTTTCAACCCCCATAAAATGACGGATTATGAAGAATAAGTTTCATCGTGGCTAATGTATTTTCTATCTTCAGCTTTTACAAGCTGTAAAGTTAGGATCTGTTTCCCCATTCAACAATGACAATCTGTCGATTGATCAGGCTCGACGACAAAGAGAAGAAAAAACAAAATTAGAATTTTCTCCCAAAAGGAAGTAATGCTGTATGTATACCATGACTCTCAATCCAAAGCAAACGAGGCCTAAAAGTAACCACACAATGACAACCTCGAAGCCCATTTCAAAGAGAGGTCTTCTTCGGGTCATGCGAAAATGGGCTTTACGCTTCTAGACCATAAGGCTTAAGCTATGGACCTCATCATGGGGAACCCCCATTCATCCAGACAGACGAGAGAGAGAGAGGGATGATACTCTGGAGTGGTGGTGGAACAGCCATGGTTGTTCCTCGGAGACCTTCATGGAGGACGCCCATGTGCTTGGCTTCCAACGTCAACACAGAGGAGCTACGTGCCCAGCTCGGTCAGCTCCACTCTGAGGCTGGGACCGCCAGAGCCAAAGGTATATACATATACATAAACATATATATATTGATTTCCTCTCCTTCATAATATTTTATATAAATTGGGGAAATACCCATTTGCCTTTTTCAATGAAAAACTACATTTTTATGCTCATTTCATTGCAAGTTCCCGCCTTGTTAGTTTCTTTTGTTGCAACTTTTTTTGCTGAATAATTTGTATGAAAGCTTCTCTCTTTTACAAAATTACACAATTTTTAATATGATGATTAGATTATCTGCACTTATTAGCGCAGAAATTTTGATATGTTAATCACTACTTGCTTTTAGTTTATGTTATAACTAATTAAGGAGCTTTCAATCCAATATTTTGGTGATTTGAGTTTGAACTTAGAACATAATTTAACAACATTTCATGGTTGTTGGCATAGCAAACAATGCAAGATTGAGGCTTTTGCGACTCTCAGAGGCAGCCGAGAAGCTGAAACGGCAAGCAGCTATTAATGTCCAAACTGGGAAGGAAGACGATGCGAGGGAGCTGCTCTTTCAGAAGAAAAAGGTCATGGAAGCATTGGAGAAGTCAAAGCACCGCATAGAATTTCTCGATGAACTTTCCACAAAGCTTAATGAGGTAGAATAAACTGTTAAGAATTATGGAAGAGATTTTCCAGTGTAATCGGAGGAATACTGGATAAGATCGTTGTTTTTAGTAATTCAGTCGAAGTTGGAAGTCCACTAATCCAATATGTATCCATTGTCAAAAATCGACCATCACCAAAATTAATCGTTGTTTTGAAAAGGACATTTATAGATTTGTACTTGGTTTATGATGTTTGAAGATGCCATGTTTTCAACTTTTCCAGATTTGTCTGCAAATTGTAATCAAAACTTAATCATGACTGCATAAAGAAGATATTATATGCTATCTTATCTCAGTCGAGCCTTTAGAAAGGAGGTCAGGTTAAGGCTCAGTTGGTACAGTAGCTGCACATCTTTAAAATGGAGGTCCCAAATTCTTAACCTCCTTCCTCGAAATGTCACAACTGATAAAAAAAATAGTAACCACTAGTAAGATATACTTTTTCTTAATGTTCTTATTCCAATCTTTGTTCCCTTACTGTAACTTATTGAAGATCTTTACCTTTCAGCGGTAATATGATCAGAAGAAGACTAATTTGATTTCAGGCAATTTCTCTGAAAGAAGGGCAGCTAATCGGGAATGTTTCTTTGGATCTTGAAGTTGTCAGAGAAGATGCTTTTAGTCCAGTTCGAATTGTATCACCCGCAGCTGAAGTTGCAGAAAATTTGGAGGTGGGCAAAGAATTTGTCTCAAATGATCTGAAAGAAGAAACACCGCTTCTTAAAGACAATCAAGCAAGCTTACCTGTTGAGCCAGAAGGGGAGGACCTTCGAGAACCTTTAAACAGGGGAGCTTGGAATGAAGATGAGACAATTAGTAGCTTGAAGGGAATAACATCTTTCGATAGTTTCTTAGAACATGGATCATCAACTCAAAAAAATTGAAGCAGAACTTATCACCATATTGAGGATCTCAACCTTGGTAGTGGACAGCCAGGAGAAATCAAGAAATTTTAAAGTGCAAAAAACGATGGAACTTCTTGATAGTGTCTCAGGCGTTAGAGAGAGGTATGCACATTAGTGAACTCAAAAGTTGGTTTACATTTGCAGTTGTCTCCTTTACAAGAGTTAACAATCACAAATATTACTCCTCTACTTGTATGTTCTTTCAACTTTTTTTTTTTTTCACCTCTCCCAGACCCTGCGTAAAGCGGGAGCCTTGTGCACTGGGTACGACCTTTTTTTTTTTTTTTCTTTTCTGATGATGCATGCTCATTGATAAACTTCATTTCTGTTCATGATCTCTGTGGTCACAGGATTTCAAGCATCAAGATGGCAAATGTGGAGGCCAGATAAGGCTTAGTTGTTTTATTCAATCTCTAGAATCCGGTAAACATTGCATTTTATGTCTGAGAAATTAGCACCTCCGGCACTGCTTTTAGCATGAAACTTGTTTAAGATAGGAGGTGGAGATTATTTAAGCAATGACTGTATATTATCAGTCTCTTTGTTGCAAGTGTATATTATCAGTCTCTTTGTTGCAAGTATAGTTACTGTGTGAAGCATGCTATATGCATGAATTTCAAATTGAGAAACTGAGGTTGTGGAAGTGCAACTCGCCCCCTAAATGCCTGAATTTTGTCAAGTTTTCTTGGTGTTTTAGGTCTTTGGAAGTTCTGAACCCTGAACTTGATAACTAATGGAATAATCAGGGAACAGTTTTATGATAATGGTTTTGCTCTTTCGTGATAACATATTGTCCTTCATTTGTTTCTCTAAACAGTTAATAGCAAACATCCCCATACGATGCAAAGAGATGGGCAAAATTTAAAGTTTCGGCTGTAGCTCCAGTATCGATACACCTATGCACCTCTTCAATCTAGGAATGCATCTTCGCTTTGGTGTTAAAAGATACACTACTTATTCATGGTAACTAGTTTTGTTTAATTTGACTATCATGTTGCCATCAATAGATGTCATATTATCACTCATTTTTTTCATGCTTTTTCTTTTCATGTACCTATTTTTCACCCATTTTTGGATCAAACAGTTATACCGCGGGATAAAAAGAGAATGTAAAACAATATTTTACAGTGTAATGGAGAAACTAATCAACATTTGACTGATACCGGCTCATAATACTATCTTTGTCCATACTGCCAGGTAGGCCAAGTGTTACATAAATCTGTTGGCTCCACCTTCTGTTATGAACTTAGGTTTGCATACTGCTGTACTTTTTGCCATTGGGTTGTAAAGAACAATTAACAGCTACTTCATTGCTTCATCCAGCATCCCGAAAAATGTAAATGCTGGGTCCCGCAACACTGTTGCGGTCCCTCCCTTGTAGATGAGCAGGCTGTATTTTTCCGTACCTGAAAGTGTGTTGGGCAATGCATGCTCTCTGATGAACTCATAGGCTTTCTTTGCAAGAGACCTTTCACTAAAACTATAGGGACTGATATAATTTGTCAAATGACTCCAGAAAACAAAGAAACATTGACTCCAAAAGACGAAGAAACGATGAAACGAGATCGTCAAAGTTCCATTTTTATTTGAAACCAAAGTATTTACAAAAGAATTGAATTGAGTTTTCTGCTCTGTAGTGAAATCATCAAATTCATGTGCCTAGTTCTCTATACATTTATCGTAAAAATTCGGAGTTCTCACAGTTTGCTTCTTTTAATTCCTGTAGCAAGATTTTTATGATGCCTCAGACTTTCCGTTGAGGGAAACCTAATTGGAGTCACTCACATGTTGCTTCCCATTATATCAACAAGAGTAATTTTGCCACTGTTGTTGTGTTCCAAAGAATCAAATTGCTTGCATATCTGCAGGATGTCACTCTCTGCTACTCTCCCCATCTCCTTCAGCTTGTATATGACGAACTCCGATTTGCTGCAGCATTAAAGGTAGAAAGTATAAACTTAACATAGATACATATTCTTTATAGAACGATATTCTAAACTAAGGGGAAGGGGATTGGTACACTAGCGTAGCCATCTGGCGTAACCCATTTCTGCTAACATAAATGCATATTGGGAAAAGTTTTGAGTTTTTAGAAAAATTCCAAATTAGAGAAAAATTAGGAGAAAACAAAATTGGTTTAAATTCAGATAGAGAAAAGTTAGGGGTACCTGATGCATCCATCATTATCCAGGTCTGCTGCCAATAGGTCCCTGAGGGTGATCTCCTTCTGAAGAACCCATTTCGCTATTCGGCGATTCCGCTTGTCGATTCTAAGCTCAGTCAAGTACAGAAAAGCTCTAGCAACGGCTAATGTGCTAACCAGTAACCAGATTATTGCAAAACACCTACCCGCAACTGTCTGGAAAGCGAAATCGCCGTAACCTACCGTTGTCACAGAAGTAACAGAGAGGTAAAAACTATCAACCCAGCTCATCTGCTCCAGAAAATGTACTGCAATTGTCCCTATAGCTATACAACCAATAACCACTCCCAATGCCAACCCTACCTTGATCCTTATTCTCATTCTTCCTTTCTCTTTATCGATCATGTACGTCTGAATCATGTGGTTGAACTTCGTCTCATCGATAGTGCTCAGCAACACCGATTCTTGCCTGTCGCAGATGTACGCCACCAACCCGTTCAGCAGAATGTCGATGAATCCAAAACCCACCAAGATGAAGAAACAGGTGAAGAGCTTGGTAGCCGTCGTGTCAGGAACAATATCACCATATCCAATCGTACAGAGCGTGACCACAATGAAGTACAAGGCATCAACCGGCTTGTAAGTGGCTTCCCCCCTGAAACCCCCGGCTGTCAAGATTATGACAATGCCGATGATGACATAGACAATGACACCGATGAAGGCCTGGCGAACAATGAAGGGTGTTGATTTAGGGGCAGATCTTGGATCATCCAGGGAGTCTTGAATGAGCTCCTTGGTGGCAGTGAACACCGAGGGAGCTGAGCGGGAGCGGTGCTTGAGCTTCCTTCGCTTGTTCTTGTTCAGGTTCGCGATGAGATTGGCGTAGGAGGTAGAGTTTGGTGTTGCAATGATGGGGAGGATAACATCAGAGCTGACTACATCAAGGTAACCTGAGGGGTGGCTTCTTCTTCGTGGTGTTCTGGCCGTTGAGGTGATCGAAGACTCTACTTGTTGGTCATCACCTCCGACACCAAGTGCTGTCTCAGTCCTGGAAATAAAAGGTTCGTCCATGGTGATGATTGGGGTGTCTGCATCTATTGACCAAAATTAGAGGTCCCAAGTGTTCGTATTATCGTTATGTTTTGTTTGTTTTAAGAAAGCAACATGAATAATAAATAAAAACATATGAACTCCAACTACAAGTCACAAGTCAATCCATGGAAGTGAAGGTTTGGCATAAGTTTGAGTGGTTGCGTCACCTAAGTTGAATCCTTTTTCCTACTTCCCACAAACTTGGGGAGGCTTTATGTGAGGTGACAGTCTACCGACTCAGGAAAAAATCCTGGATGTTACCGAAGATATATTTATACACATTTACTATCACTCATTTTAATCACACTTATCATTTGAGTGCGACACACACATTAAGATATGTTTTCAACGTTAAGGGTATAATCTCTTGTCAACCTAGAAAGTTAGTTAGCTAACTAAGGTTGTCAAAGTCGCAAAAAATTAATTTGTAGGTATCGGACACATCAGCAAAGCTAGTCGTTCGCATGGATATATATTTTTGGTAATAAAGTTTTTAATTCCAACTTTACCCTTTGAATAAAAAATTAGATTAAAGAGAAACGTCCACGTTTCTATTCATCATTACCCTCCGCAGTAAAAGTTGACCAAGGTTGTCAAATTGCTGTCCAGATTTAGAACTTTAAATATAGGGTAAATTACATAGTAACCCCTCAAGTTTGAGGTCTATTACAACCCAATACAACATCTTTAAAACATTTCATTTTCATACATCAAGTACTATTTTATTTCAATATAATACATCCGTTAAATGCTGACATGGCTGCCACATTTGTGTCACGTGGCCAAAAAAAATAATTAAATTTTTTTTTTAAAAAAAAAACCTAAATCTTCTATATAAATAAATAAAATAAAAAATAAAAAAACCAAAAACCAAACCCCACTTCGTCTTCCCTCCCTCCTTCCCTCCTCTCCCCCAACAAAAAACCCCAACCTGCAACCCATAAGAAGAAGAAGAGAAAGAAAAAAAAAAAACTCATCTTCATCTTCCCCGACCCCCCTTCCTTACAACCCACCCCTTTCTTCCCCCCTCCCGTATTTCCCAAACCCATCGCACCCATCCTCCACGTCCTCCTCCATACCCACCCTCGCACCCACCCTCTTCTTTCCTCTACACACCCCACTCTTTAAATCCATACCTATTGGGGAAGATGAAATTTGGGTTGCAAGGAAAGGGAGATGGATTTTTTTTTTCTAGGTTGCAGGTAGTGTGGAGGGGGGCTTGAGTGAGGTGGGTCGCGGGGTTGGGGGGCGCTACGGTGAGGTTGGTCACAAAGGGGGGGTTGGGGGGGAGGGATAATCGTTGGGGGTGGGATGGGGGATCTGAGGAAGGGATAATCGTTTTGGGGGGGGGAGGGGTGATGGGATCTGGGTTTGGGTTTTTTTTTTTTGGTTGAAGATTTAGTTTTTTTTTTTATTTAAAAAATTATTTTTTTGGCCACGTGGCACACATTTGGCAGCCACGTGGCATAAATGTGGCAGCCACGTTAGCATTTAACGGATTAATGGATGAAAAATCTAACAGATGTATTATATTAAAATAAAATAGTATTTGAGGTATGAAAGTGAAATGTTTTAAAGATGTTGTATGGGGTTGTAAAAGACCTCAAACCTAAGGGGCTACTATGTAATTTACCTTAAATATATTAATGGGAGGTATAAAATTGTAAACTTCATATTAAATTAAGCAGTCGTTAGCACTGAGTGTTAACTTATTATAATAATTATTAGAGATATTTTATTTTTAATTTTAAATATTAGAGATATTTTAACATTACTTGTGACATCCCACATCGTCCAGGAGAGTGGATCATGTAAGCCTTATATGTATATTCTCATATATACTTAACACGAGGCTTTTTGGGAGCTTACTGGCTTCGGGTTCCATCGGAACTCCGAAGTTAAGCAAGTTCACGCGAGAGCAATCCCATGATGGGTGACCCACTGAGAAGTTCTCGTGTGAGTTCCCAGAAATAAAACCCTGAGAGCGTGGTCGGGGCCCAAAGCGGACAATATCGTACTACGGCGGAGGCAGTGCCGGGCTATAGTGGAGCCCTAGTCGGGATGTGACATCACTTGTAGGTGAGGCTTCAATAAAAAACAGTAAAATTTAGACCTGTAAAATTACATTATTGCCCATCATTTTTTTTTGTGCGATAGAATACTAAGTTTATCTTTTCATCATCTTTTAATTGACAAAGAGAGTTTTATTAATTAATAGAGATATTATAATTAGATATAAAAGAGCATATTATTCTCTTTCTATAGTTAATAAATAAACGTCAACCAAATGTTCTTGCCAACATAGATGGTAACTAATTTAAAAATTGTGGGTAAAAGTAATTAAAAAAGCCAAACTTGTTGCGGTTAATATTTAATTAGATATGTGATTATGTAAATTTTAACAGTTAATTCTTATTAATATTTGTATTACTTAGAAAGTAAATTTCTCACTTTTTTACGAATATAAATAAAAGCACACAACTTACGAAATATCATCACAAAATTTCTCAAGCGTGTTTTTCTCTCTCTTCTCTTTTGCCGCACCCTACCGCAAAACTTAGATTTTGGCTTACTTCTCTTTGTCCAAGTATATATGGAAGGATTATAAGCGTTTTTCTTTTTGCAACAAAAATAAGTGTGTTTTTGGCTATAAAAGCGTTTTTTTATTTATTTTTTCATAAAACACTTGGATGTTTAACAAAATTTTCAACATTTTTTTTTATTAAACGGGATGATAGTGTTCACTAATCATCCCCATAATCCTATTAAGATAAAAATAAAAACACAAATGAGGAGGACATAAAGTCAAACCTCATTGATGAAAAGTACATAGCAAGAAACACGATAAGGGACAAAATTTTCAACATACTTATTGTAAAACCACTTCTAGCCAATGTGCTTCTTATAGAAATAGTTTAAAAAATG